AAATATTTTACTTTTTTTTTGTTTTTTTTTTTACATTTTTTGATAAAATAAAAATATAATTAGCAAATTATATACAATTTTTTTTGAAATTTTCTTTTTTTTTGTACTTTTCTTATTTCTATAGTATAATATTTTTTAATTATTGTATTACAATATTAATTGCATTGACTATTCTTTTCTTATTTTATTTTTATTTTATAATTGTACAATATAATTTAATTAACTTAATTAAAAAATAATACAATTCTAAATCATTCTTCATATAAACAAAAATTCTATTATTATAACTCTCCATGCTCTTGAGTGGCAATAGTTTGAGTTTAAATGCCTTGGTTACCTTATTAGTACTATTATTTTGTTATTTATAATATTAGTGTATTTTATAATTGTATTTTTTATAATTTAATATTTAGATATTTTTTCTAATCAAATATATTTTAAACAGTATAAAAAAACTAATCAATTCAATCAAACCACACCAATCCAATTTAAATTAAATTAATTTAGTTATAATATAATAATAAATTAAATTAAATTAAATGTTCTACTAATTCTCACAAAAAAAATTACTAATTAATTAAATTAGTTTAGTTTCAAAAACATTAAAATTCTACTCAATTAGACCGCCAACATTCCTAAGCGCCGACTTCGTGTCTTTCTCAATAAAGCCCTTGTTCTTTTCCTTTTTGTTCTTTTGGGTTACATGTCAATTTTGATCTCTTAATTTTAGGATTTTACATCATTTTTGTCATTTAATTTTTTTACACATTTTTGGTTTTATAACTATAAAAAAAAACATCTTTTAATCATTTTATAAGTTAATTCATTAAATTTGTTTAAATATGTATTTTTTTAATCCCTTAAATTATAATATATACATATTTTTATTGCTTAAATGCCATTTTTTGTCTTTACACAGCTTTCATCCTTTAACTTTTTATGCATTTTTCTCCTTTAATTGTAAAAAATAACTTTTTTTAGTTCTTCTATTAGTTAGTTTATTAAATTTATTCAAATATGCATATATTTAATCTTTTAACTTATAATATATACATATTTTTCGTCCCTCAACTTAAAAGTTTAGAGATTAAAAATGTACATATATAAATAAATTTAAAGATTAATTAATGGAAAGACTAATAAAGTATATTTTTCGTAATTAAAGAATTAAAAAATTATATGAAAAAGTTGGTGGATGAAAACTATAAAATACCAAAGTTGATGGATCAGAATGGGCATTTACTCTTGTATCCATAAGATTCACATGCCAATATTAATGCTAAAATCATGCAGGAATAGTGCTAAAACTGAAGTGAATTGTGTGCTAGAATGTAAAAGAGACTAACTGAAGTGAATCAAGCAAGAAAATTGAAACTAATGCGAATCATGCTGGACCATTACAACTTAAACGATTCGTGTGCTAGAATGTAATGGTAATACCTCTCTGCTTTCTTCGTGCAAAAGCCCCACATGTGGCGTTTCTTTCATATGTTGATCTTGCTTTCTTTTGTTATTCCTTTGCACTATCATATTTAGCTGGAATTGCATTGGGACCTTATTACTCTTCTTCTTCCCTTTGTGTCGTGGTGGCACATGGTGTGAAAGAAAAATGGTTATAACAGAAACAGCAGAAACTGCATCGCCAACAACAAAACCTTTTCAAATATATTACTCTTACAGTGCTTTTAAGGGCTTCCACAAAGTCCCTGGTTGTTAGCAAAGCCATGTGTTGGTCTTCGATTGACTCTTTTATAGATTTCAAGCAATTGATATCAGAGACACGGCCGATAGTTACAGTGCTCATCAATGATCAAATCACAGTTTGGAGTAATACCAAGATAGAAGGCATTTGCAAGTATGAATGCACGGTATACAAAGAAATGGAGATAGAACTTAGGGGCACCTAAGGGATGAAAGATGCATCAAGAGGACAATTAGATTAATCCTTGAAGCTCCTTAGGATAGACAAGAAATTTATGTAAAGGGCATCTACGGAATGAGAACAGATGGATATAAGGGACAGTGTTAAAATGAGAAAATTCCATATTGGAAAAATCAACTAAAGAAACAATGAGATTTAAATAAAATGATAGTTATTTTATTATTGTCAATTAATTTTATATTAGATATAAATATTATGTTAAAATTTAAATGTTTAATTTTTCATTTCTCAGACAAGTCTAGATCAATCCTGCAATGGGATTTACGTTAGAAGACTTGAAATTAACCCATGTTAAATTTTTACTCAAAAAAAGTATGAATTCCAGTCAATAAAAACGAGGAGTATCAAAATTTCTTCCTTATCAACGAATTTTAGGAAGCTACCCTATCATAGATGTGGGACAATGAGTTAGACTTTGAATTGTCCGTTGACTATGCCTTAATTTAAGGGGTTGACTCTATAACCATTATTGTGTTTTTTTATTTTATTTTATTTTATTTTTTATAAATTTGGCCTTTTTCCAAGTTATCTAATTCTCCTTTTTTCTTTTGTCAAATGTCATCGCCCCCTAACTAGTTCCATCTAGTTCCATCTCAATTTAAATTTTATTATATTTTTTATATGTTAAATGATACGTTATATGATAAAATATAATTTTTTTAATTTAAAATTTTCCTACGCATCTTAAAGTTTTAACTCAACTTTATTTTTTTTATGCAGGACAGTAGGAGTAACATCTAAAATGGAAACTAAGAAATATTTCTGAACTCCAGCTGACTAAAAATAAAAGAAATGGGATTAATTTTTGTTCTTAAATCATGAACTTAAAAATCTTTGCTTGACAATAAGAAAAACAGGCTCCTACACAATTATATAACATCTGCTACTGTTACACAGAGAGCAAAGAAAATCAATATTTTCCCTTTGAGTACTGGTAATACTGCTCAGTAATCATAGATGTGGGACAATGAGGTAGATTTCTTGTCCATTGACGCTACCGTTCTTTATGGGGTTGATTCCCTCATCCCTTATTGTTAATTTTCCTTTTTCGTGTTGTTTCAACGAAATTTACTTATTCTCCGACACATCTTGTTTCTTTAGACTGTCAAATGTTTATCTGTCTACATGAGCAATATCTTTATCGTCTTACATGCCCCTGAGTTCCATATCTCTATTTCTCCTTTGCAAATGGCTTCTTTGGCAAGGCTTACCACGATGTTTTCTACGCTTTGATTTGGTCATTGCTGACCACTTCAAGAGTTGGCCTTGCCTCCGACATCAATTGCTTGAAATCTATAAAAGACTCGCTTGATGACCCATACGGTTATCTTAAAGCTTCATGGAACTTCAACAACAATACAGAGGGCTAAGGGCTTCATCTTCTGGTTTACAGGGGTAGAATGCTGGCACTATGATGAAAACAGAGTGCCTAACATTCAACTATCCGACATGAGTTTGAAGGGCCAGTTTCCTCGGAGAATAAGTGGTTGCTCTAGCTTAGTGGGGCTAGACCTTTCAAACAATGAGCTTTCTGGACCAATTCCATCTGATATATCAAGTATCCTTCCTTATTTAACTACATTTAAACTCTCTTCCAACAAATTCTCAGGTGAAATCCCGAAGAGTTTAGCCAATATTAGTTTTCTGAATGTTCTTAATCTTGACCACAATCAACTAGCAGGTCGTATCCCACCAGAAATTGGCCTTCTTTCTCGAATTAAGACTTTTACTGTTGCCGATTATTTGTCATACGGTCCGGTACCCAATTTTTCATATAATTTTTCAAGTGATAGCTTTGCTAATAATCCGGTTCTCTGCGGAGAACCTTTGGAGCCCCGCAAGAGTATGTCAAAACCAAGTCATGATATCAAAAATCGTTTCCTTGTTGGTCTGGTGGGTTCTGCTGTTTTAGTTATCACTGTTTTCATCTCTTGTTATGTGGTCTGGACACAAAGGAAGAAGAGGAGTAACAAAAGAAAGCAAAAACATCAGATGGAGGAAATGCCACGTGAAGCTTTTCGTGAAGAAAGCAAGGAGGTATACCCTTTTACGCTAGCAGATAACTCACTTCAGTTTTGATGTTCCAGCATGATTTTAGTATTAATATTGGAATTTGGAACTTGACAGTCTTCTATCTTGGGGAAACTGGTTTCAAGACTGAATTATACAGAAATCAGTGAAGCAACGAAAAATTTTAGTGAAGAAAATGTCATTGGAATTGGAAGGATGGGGACAACCTACAAGGCAGTATTGCCCAACGGCTGGCTCCTTGCAGTTAAGAGATTACATGATACTTGCCTATTTGATGAGCATTTCATAACAGAATTGAAGACCTTGGGTAGAATGAGGAATGAGAACCTCTTGCCCCTCCTGGGATTCTGCATATGGTCAAAGGAGAGGCTTCTGGTTTACAAATACATGTCAAAAGGAATTCTTTATGATTGGCTACATCCTGAGAAAGGTGAGGCAAGAATCATGGAGTTTGTTTGTACCTGAAACTACAACTGAATTTGTTTGTCGGGCTTCAACAACTCAAGGAGAGGAGACCAACCTCAATTTGTCAACATACTGAATTCAGAGCAGGATAGGTACTTGCCTACAATTTTTTGTTTATAATAAAATAGATTAGCAAAATTGAGATGAACAAAGAAGTCAATGAAACAAAAAGATCATAATCAAAATCCAAAAACATAATTATAGAAAAAAATACCCTCAAAGATGAAGTCTTGTAGCTATCATACATAAGCAGCAAATTCATAAACGCTAGCAGTGTTACTGGAACCTGAAATAGAATCACTTCCTTTCTTATAATATTTTTAATCTAACATTTAATTTAACTGAAAATCATTAATCTATTAATCACAAAGCATAGATAGAAAATAAGAATACATACTTAGACAAACTTCTAGGCAGAGGTTCAGAGCGCAAGTTCATCTACTTTATTACATTTGAGCTTTTGTGAAACTCTCCATATTTTCCCATCACGTCAGACAGATTCACTGAAGAAAAAGAGACTCCATTTTCAGAATCAAATGGATCATAAAATAAAATGAATAGAGAACAGAAGATTTTTTCTTCTTGGAGATAGAAAAACATTTTAACAACTCACCAATGAACCCTGAGTGGCATTTGATAGGGATCATACCATTGCATGGTAAGACAAAAAAGAACATCTTGGCAATTGGCATATACTACAGGCACATATGTTTGAAGACATTATCTTGGCATGTTTTCCCATTTAGCTACATATCCAAAATCAGTCCACCAAAGAAAAGAGAACTGAAATATCATCCTCACATTCTTTTTCTTCTCCTACAGTGTATCAAGACTAGTTAGCCCAAGCATTTAAAACTGAGAGTTGTATCCCAAAAACTTGCTATTCTATCAAGGGCAGATATATATTTAAAAAGGAAGAAGTCAATCCTAGACAAACTTCAGTTTAGAGCTTGACAGAGGAGCCAATATCCTTCTTGAATAACTTGACTATATTTGCTAATTTCTAATACCATGTAACTTGAAACCTTGTTAGGCAAAGACAGATATGTACACCAGTCAACTTGCACGTCAAATTTTGTCAGCATCTGACTGATATGGACCCAAAAACTAAGCTGATTTTTTGTGGGAACCATCAACTCAAGGAGAAAACAGAATCAATTGTCAGAAATCACTTAAAAAGACCGTGATTCTGAAATAAAGAGCTAAAAGACACTTTAACAATATATAAGGTGCATTAAATTTTCTGTCAATACAGAAGGTGCAAAGTCTTACCTTAATTCTGCAAGTCCCTGACTCCACCATGTCTTACTTTGTTGGGAATGGGAAAGTTCGTACAATAATAATGTCTTCTATATGTTGACTACATGATAAAGAAGAAGGAAACTCTTTTAAGCAGTGTTTCGGATAATTAATCATCAAGAATGATTATTTATTCCATTGACCAACATCAATGGAGAGCTATATGTCAAATGTATCTCTAAATCTCAGTTCTTCACCTGCGGAATTTTGGGCCTCCATAGAAAACTAAACAAAAAATGTCAAAATACACAAATTAATTTATCGATAAATTAAGAACCATGCAATGAGCCAAAAATGAATAATGAACAGAAGTTTAGTTTTGGAATAATAAGCATAGAAGGGAATTTCGGGACTCACTACCTGTGCAACACCTTATGGGAGTATCTTGAACCAGTGATATGATTTAAGAAAATGCCAAAGATTTTTAATTAGGTGGCAATCTTAACAGAAAACACAATTGGAACAAAGTGATTACCTAGTACATCTAAGGAGCCTGAACTTCCTAGTTGTTTGTCACTACATTTGAGAAAATTATAAGCATGAATCAATGAATTGAGGTTTGGTTAATTAAACTTACCTCGGGCATATTGGAGCCTGCAAATCTATTCTGATGTTCTGATGTTGAGAATGAGGAATAAGGGATGAGCTTGCCATGTGCAACATTACTATCAAGGCAGAGTGTTGAAGCCAATAAAGAATGGCAGAATGCTAAAATAAACAACTTTGCTCTATTGTCCCATGTCTATTAGATTAGATAGCAGTTTCCTAACCTTCAATGAGTACTTACAGATAAATAGATATATTTTGGTCAAGTACTGGTCATTAATTCAACAAGCACAATGTCTTAGCCACTGACATCATTTTCACTTAATAAGACTAAAGTACAAAAGCAATCAGCAGTATCATCAACACCTGGTGTCTACTTCTTCCTTTCTCGTTCAACTTGACATCTTCCCTGCCATAGTTCAGCATTCAGAGGTGAAATAGAAAGCAAAATAAATGAAATAGCAGAAAATTTTAAACCAACCATGCCGCTGTTACTTAAGTGAAGAACATGATATTTCTTATAATACATAAGCAAAGTACAGACATACATTGTCACTCAGGAGACTATTAGTAACACTGAATATTCTCGTCGTGAACCTCTCGCCTAACTAAAATAACGTGGCCCAATGGAATGGGGAGTGTTGGCCGGAGAGTGCAGGAGGCAAGTGCCCCTAGCACTGCTCTTCTTTTGGAATGAAAAGGCCCATGTGCAGTACTTGTCAATTTCTTGTCGTTCTTTAGAGCTAAACTCCTTACGGAAAAATAAAAAATGTTAAATATTAATTTTGGTCTCTTAACTTTAAGATTTTACATAATTTTTATACCTCAAATTTTTTAAAACTTTTTGTTACCCCTTAATTATAAAAGTGCATTTTTTAATTTGCCATCAGTTAATTCATTAAATCTATCTAAATCTGTACATTTTTAATCTTTAAACTTAAAATTAAAGATGAAAATGTGCATATATTAAAAGTTGATGGATTAAAAAATTACAGATTCAAATAAACTAAACAGATTAACTGATGGAAAAATTAAAAAAATACATTTTTCATAATTAAAGGATTAAAAAAGTTTATAAAAATTGAGAGATGAAAATTATGTAAAATCTTAAGTTGAAGGATCAAAATGGACATTAAACCAATAAAAAAAAGGTTTCTGTTTGTATGGTAAAACTGCCGAAATTAAACTATTTATTAGTTGATTTTGTCGAAGTAATGGTGTTGATTTTAAACTTTGGGTTGGGTTTAATTATAAATAAAAAGTTGTTTCGTAAGACATTTAAAATTTAAAGCTTATAGCAACTACATGTCCTGTGCACCTCTCTTAGAGTTAAGGTTTAGTGATGACGGGTATTTCCTTAGGGTTATTGCCCCAGCAGAGAAGCACCCTTTTTTTTCTTATGAGTCTCGTCCCCTTTGAAGCGTTGCCGAGCTGTCTTGCTTTGGTGCCGCCAACCCTAGGGTCCATAAGCAGTGGCTAATTTGTTCAATTTTACAATTGTTTCCGATAGGGTGGTTTTATCAGCTACTTTTCTTAGGATTGGATTGAGAACGTTAGCGCATCTCTTAACATAGTTGCTAGTGGGCATGGGTCTTGCGTGGGGTTTAGTGGCTGTTTGGTTTCTGCACTTGAAGAAAGAATCAGAGTGTCGCTAGTTAGAGATAGTGGACAGCTTGGAGACTATGTTGCGTCGTGTATGAATCACAGAGGATGACACTTGTAATTGCACTAAACCAGAAGCCCTTCTTCAGTCCACGTCTTCATTTCGGATGAACTTGTAAAACCCTAAGGTGGGTCCTTGGAGTAGACACTTCGATACTTAAGTCAGCAATAATCGAGACTACCTTTAGAGCGGAGACAAAAGGAGCTTATGGTTGGTTTCAATTACTTTTTTGACGTGACCCTTGGAGGTATTTATAGGTTTCAATGAGGAACCCACATGGCATGCCAAGCAAGATATTTGGGATCTGATGTGTATCTCCAGATGGTTATTTCAAGACCGAGAATATGAGAGATATTTAGATGCAAGGATGTCCATCGTAACTACTGTGCAACTTATCATAAAGGATCAGGTGCGGGTATGTCTACTGTTGTTGCCATGCAGCTACTTGAGCGGAGGAATCTTTGGATTTATCCTTCACTTTGATCATAAAAAAATTACTGTCGATTGTTCGAGGTTGGGCACTTCAGACTTGTCCTTGCAAAACTAATATCTTCCAACTGCAGGAGCTGTGGAACCAGGAGGATGCTAAGGTAGATAAATTACAGTTGGTTGGAAAGATCCCATCACGGGACGAATTCGTTTCTTGGAGGTTGGTGCCAAATGGTCAAATTCAAAGGTTAGTGTGGTTTCTAGGGATGATAGAGATTTTAATTATCCTTTGTTGATTAATTGTATATGATTTGGATGGTGGGGGTACCTTTCCCATCGAAATGATTCCTCCAAGGATATGGTAGGGTTATTAGTGGATAAGGTGGGGACTGTTGGTAGCTCAATTATGTATTTTTCTTAAAAAGCTAGTTTAGTAAATATAAATGTTTAGACATTCAAAATATGCGCATAACGATTTTCTTTTTAAATGGTTGTTAAATTAATTTTTAAGAATAATTGATTTTTTTATTTAATTGTTTAAATTCATCATAAATATAATTTAAATTTATAACTAATACTATAAATTATATTTTTATTTTAAACTACAATG